TATGAGGAGGAGACAGAAGCCAAGGCTGAGCTCCAGCGCTCACTCTCCAAGGCCAACTCTGAGGTGGCACAATGGAGGACCAAGTATGAGACAGATGCCATCCAGCGCACTGAGGAACTTGAGGAAGCCAAGTAAGTCATCCCCCCGTGAAGGGAGCTTCTGGGGGCAGGGGAGAGCAGAGACTCTTCCACTGTAGAAGGAGCTGGAGAAGGTAGAGGGACCTGGAGGTAGCAGAGGAGATCCAGAGCAGAGCCTTGGCCAGCTGATGGGTGGAAGAAGGTTTGAGTTGGTCCACTTGGTCCACGGGTCACCACAGCCAGGTTGTCCCCTGGGACAGGAAGAAGCTGGCCCAACGGCTGCAGGAGGCTGAGGAGGCAGTGGAGGCGGTCAATGCCAAGTGTTCCTCTCTAGAGAAGACCAAGCACCGGCTGCAGAATGAGATTGAAGATCTCATGGCTGACCTTGAGCGGTCGAATGCAGCAGCTGCTGCTTTGGACAAGAAGCAGAGGAACTTTGACAAGGTGGGAGAACCAAGAAATGGTGGAAGGAGAATAGTGGGAAGAGGGTGGAGAGATGTGGGTCCCACCAATCATAGAAAGGCAGGAGAAAAAGTCCAGAAGAAAGGTGAACAACTGTCAAGGTCCAGGTTTCAGCAGAGCTTCAAGTCCCTACCAGAAGAGTGTTGGGGAGAGGAGGAGGACGATGAAAAGAGAGTTTTTTGTGGGCAAAGCAGCTTCTGAGCAGGTTATGTCACCATAGATCTTGTCTGAGTGGAAGCAGAAGTTTGAAGAGTCACAGATGGAGCTGGAGGCATCGCAGAAAGAGGCCAGATCCCTCAGCACTGAGCTCTTCAAACTGAAGAATGCCTATGAGGAGTCACTTGATCACCTGGAGACCTTAAAAAGGGAAAACAAGAACCTCCAAGGTGAGACTATGGTCCTTTGTCTACCTACCATGATGTTTTCCACTACCTTCCACATAGTCTGATGTGTTCTCATCTGGTCAGAGGAGATTTCGGACCTCACGGAGCAGCTGGGTGGCAGCCACAAGACCATCCATGAGTTGGAGAAGGTCCGGAAGCAGCTGGATGCTGAGAAGCTGGAACTTCAAGCAGCGCTGGAGGAGGCTGAGGTGTGACAAGCCACGTTGCCGTGCATCCCTATGTTCTCCTGGTCTCCTTTGCAGTTCTCAATTTTCCCTCTGTCCCTTCCAGGCCTCTCTGGAGCACGAAGAGGGAAAGATCCTGAGGGCCCAACTGGAGTTCAACCAAGTCAAGGCAGACTATGAGCGCAAGCTGGCTGAGAAGGACGAGGAGATGGAGCAGGCCAAGCGTAACCATCTGCGGGTGGTGGACTCGCTGCAGACCTCACTGGATGCTGAGACCCGGAGCCGCAATGAGGCCCTGCGGCTGAAGAAGAAGATGGAGGGTGACCTCAATGAGATGGAGATCCAGCTCAGCCATGCCAACCGCATAGCCGCTGAGGCCCAGAAGCAAGTCAAGACATTGCAGGGCTACCTCAAGGTACCAATAAAACTTCTGTTTCATAAGAATGTTGAGATGTAGTAGATTACACCACCCCACAATGGAAGAAGAGTGGACCTTCAGCCCCTTCCCCCCATCCACATTCACCCTCTTCCCCTATGCCGTCTTGTAGGACACTCAACTGCAGCTAGATGACGTGGTCAGGGCCAATGAGGACCTGAAGGAGAACATTGCCATCGTGGAGAGGAGGAACAACCTCCTCCAGTCTGAACTGGAGGAGCTGCAGGCAGTGGTGGAGCAGACTGAGAGAGCCCGCAAATTGGCTGAGCAGGAGCTGATTGAGGCCAGCGAGAGGGTCCAGCTTCTCCACTCACAGGTGAGACCTCATGCACTTTCAAGGAAAGAGGTCACCTCCATCCACAGGTGTGGGATTCTAATGAGTTGAGTTACCAAGATGTCCAGATCCTTGAAGCTTCCAGAGTTTTCGTGAGGGGTGGAGGCATTAAGTACTGAAGAAAGATGGGTCAGCAGTGCCATAGACACCTCATGAGATCCTCTTCTCCATCTCCAGAACACCAGCCTCATCAACCAGAAGAAGAAGATGGAGGCTGACATCTCCCAGCTGCAGACAGAGGTGGAAGAGGCCATCCAGGAGTGCAGAAATGCTGAGGAGAAGGCCAAGAAGGCCATCACTGACGTGAGTGCCGTGGTGGGAACAACAGCTAGGATATCTTCCAGTGGAGGGTAATGAACCTCCTTTTCTGCTTGCTTCTCTCCTTGAGTAGGCGGCCATGATGGCAGAGGAGCTGAAGAAGGAGCAGGACACCAGCGCCCACCTGGAGCGGATGAAGAAGAACATGGAGCAGACCATCAAGGACCTGCAGATGAGGTTGGATGAGGCCGAGCAGTTGGCCCTCAAGGGGGGCAAGAAGCAGCTGCAGAAGCTGGAGGCCCGTGTGAGGGAGTTGGAGAATGAGCTGGAGGGTGAGCAGAAGCGCCATGCTGAGAGTGTCAAGGGTCTCCGCAAGTCTGAGCGTCGTGTCAAGGAGCTCAGCTACCAGGTGGGTTGCCTGAGGTAGCCCTGGATGTTATCCACTGGCCCTGTGTCCTCAGGGCCTTATGTCTGATGCTGTATGTGACTTGCAACATGGCTGACCTGGTAGCTAGAGAGACAGAGGTGAACTAGACCACCCATTGCTTCTATGTCCAGTACTGTAGTGGGACCCAGAACATGGTAGGCTTGGTGGTCATGAGCCACCCAGTCTATCCCCCAGCATCCATGGGGTCTTTGCATGACCCAGAATCTCAGGTGAAACCTTATCAGGGACAAAAAAGACACCTTTGCCCAAGAGGACATCCCACCTTCTGCCCCACAGCTGAAGCCACCGGAGAGCCTCCACTCCCCAAGATCATCTCTAACTGTCTCCTGACCCTTGTGGCTCTGGTGATGATCCAAAGCATGGATGGGGTCAGGTCCTGATTCACACGTGTCTCACCCCACAGACAGAGGAGGACCGCAAGAACCTGGTTCGGCTCCAGGACCTGGTGGACAAGCTCCAGCTGAAGGTCAAGGCCTACAAGCGACAGGCGGAGGAGGCGGTGAGCAGTGGGGGGCAGCTTTGGGACCACTCTCCAGGAGGGACCAGTGTGGGGTTGGGGTGTGAGACAGGATGTAGGGAGTAGCAGGGAACCTTAGTGTCGTTAAGGAGTGGGGTGTCAGGGGCTGAGGAAGGTGGGCCAAGGGAGAGGTGGGGTGGTGGTGGAATGGCTGTGGGACAGGTGACTAGAAAGTTGAGTGGATGTTTCGATGGATGGAAGGTTGGATAGATGATAGTGGGATGAACGGCTGGCTGGCTGGAAGGTGGAATGAACAGATGATTGCATAGATGAAAGGTTGGACAGGTGGGTGGAAGGTTGGTTGGGTGAATGGAAGGTTGAATGGTGGAAGGATTGATGAAATGTTGGCTGGCTGACTGAATGGATGTACAGAAGGAAGGCTGAATGGTGGAATGTTAGATGGATAGATGGATGGATGGATGGATGAAAGGATGAAAGGAAGGAAGGTAGGTTTAGTGGGTGGAAGGTTGGATGGATGGGATGTTAGAGGGCTGGTTGGTTGAGTAGATGGTTGGGTAGCTGGAGATGGAATTGCTGAAGGGACAGGTGGGTCCATAAGCAATAAGAAAGTCAGATGGAGGGACAGCTCTCAGGGTGGCAGGAGGCCACATGGAACTGAGGTGGAGCCCCACTGATGCCCCTGTCCCCCAGGAGGAACAAGCCAACTCCAATCTGGCCAAGTTCCGCAAGGCACAGCATGAACTGGACGAGGCAGAGGAGCGTGCCGACATTGCTGAGTCCCAGGTCAACAAGTTGCGGGCCAAGAGCCGTGACATTGGAGCCAAGGTGGGACCTCTCCCTGCCCCACAGCTGCCCCATGGCTGCCACATGGCTGCCCCCACAACTCCCTCATTTTTACACTCCAATTTTTTTCCTTCTCCATCAGAAGGGACTCAACGAGGAGTGAAGCTCTGAATTCCCTGCTGTATTCCCTGGACCTCTAAATGCCCTACCCCTGCTCCCAGCCCCCTAACCTTGGTCAGTCAATAAAAAGAATTGAGCAGCAGCAATTTGTGTGGGGCTGGGTTTGTGTTGGGCTGGGTTTGTGTGGGGAGGGTGGAGTTGTCTCATGACATGGCACCCACAAAGTGGATGCAGACCACACAAGATCACCCACTAGCGTGCAACATAGTACACCCCACAGCATGATGCAACCAGACGCACAGTGCAACATGATGTGACTGACGGGGTGCATCTTAACCTCAACCTGCCCCACAGTGTAACTCAAACTGCCCCATGGTGCTCTTCAACCTCAACCTGCCCCACACCAACCCATGTCCATGTGGGGAGAGACATGTCCAGGGGCAGATGTGGGGCTGGGGAAGGAGGGGCCCAGGAGGTGGGGGGAAGCATCTGAGTCCTCCGCATATGGAGCAGAGCCTGAGTGAACCCCTCAAGGATGTCTTCTCCTGAGGCTGCAGCTTCTCCTGCTGCAGGTGCTGATGTCCCTCCAACTTGGCATCAGTGTTCCCCTGGCCACCAGCTGCTCAGTCCCACTGCACACCATGTCCCACCATCCCCTATGCCCTACTGACACTCTGTCCCATGTCCCTCCATCCCTCTGTCCTTTCCATCCATCATCCCACAACTTCCTGGCCCACCAGCCCTGTCTATCTCCCACAGTCCCTCCACCTCCTCTATGGTCTCCTAGTCCCTCCAGGTTCTCAATGTCCCACCAGGTCCCACTGTCCCTCTTTCCCCTGCCTCTTCCTCCTCTTCTCAAATCCTCTGTCCCACTGCCCTCCCCCTCTCCTCCCCCCTGCCCTGCCTTCCCTGTCCATCTGTCGCCCCATCCCTCCTCCAGTCCTGGTGGCGCCGTGTGATGGACCCCAGGGGACCCTGGCGTCCAGGCAGCTCCCCTCCCCCGCCAAATTCGGGCCAAGGAGGAGGAGGCGTGTCTCTATGGGGCTTTATGTGGAGACTGTGGGTCTCTATAGGGACTCTGTGGGGCTCTGTGGAGACTCTCTGCAGCTCTGTGGGGTTCCTGTGGGGCTCTATAGGAGATCTATAGGGCAGAGGAAAGGATCTGTGGGGCAGGGAAGGGGATCTGTGGGGCACAATGGGGAGGTGGGGACCTTCCCACCCGCAGGAATGTGTCACCTCGCGGGGACTCTTGTCACCTCCTCGATAACAAAGTGGACATTGTGTTCAGGGACTGTTGCCAGATCCCCCCCCCCAGACCCCTGCCGGCCCAACGGCGCCTCACAGGGAGGGATGAGATAACAATCTGCCCCCCCTCCCTGCCGTGTCCAGATATAGACCTGGCAGGGTTGAGCTGTCACCACCTCATGGGTGACAGGACATTGGCCAGGGACCCAGGCATCCAGGCCCCATAGACACCCTCTACACAAAGGACCCAGGCATCCTAGCCCCACAGATCCCCTCCATGCACAAGGGACCCATGGGTCTGGGCTCCATAGATCCCCCCCCTAACAGGTGACCGGGAGTCTGGGCCACATAGAATCACCAC